ATTCTGTCTTATCTGCATTATGCAACATAAACTATGCATCTTTTTAATGCGTAAATAATACATCAAAATACATTTTATGCGTAAGTATATAAAATACTAATAAAAAAACGAGCCAGTTCATTTGCCAATTAGCTGACAAAAACTTGACCCATTTTTGAGGTTCGATGCTCTATCTATACCTAGTCCAGTCATAAATTCTGTTACAAATGAAAATGCATTTATTTTTTAGTTATAATCTAAGGGTCTAAAACACGAAGGTCTTTGTTTATAATAATGGAATGGTATTAGTTTTTGCTACTAATTATCAATAGCGGGCAGCTATAAAGGGTAAAGTCAATGAATACCGTTTTAAATCAAGTGAGTCATCAGTTTGTTAGTCATTCTAAATCTCTAAGACTAAAAACCTCTAAGTGGAGTATCTCCTTATAACTAACAAAAACAGGCCAATTTTTTTAAAATAGTGATTTTGTTACATAAAAAAAAAAACATAGTGACCTTAATTGTGGCAAAACCAGTTATATCGATTTAAAAACCAATTTGATAATTAAATGAAAATTTTATAATTAAAAAATTCAAATCGATTGCTAATACTAAGAACATAAAAAAAAAATAATCGAATTGAAAAACTCATCATGTTAAACCGACTTCAAAAATAAGGAAGTTCTCAGTACGGTTATATTTTTTATGTTCGTTACCTCATATTTCCGTTAGTTATAAATCGATTTAGAAAATTCTATTTTTATTTAAAAGGATGTACTTGTATATTGGTTTCATAGAAATTTTATCAAAATTGGTTCAGCGGTTTAGTTTTTAAATCAAAATAACTTGTTTTTATTTTGAAGTCATTTAAAAGTGACATGCTTTTACAGTAGTCTTTATATTATAATTAATGACATTCATTTATTTATTTATACTTTTGTACACATTAAAATATGTCTACAGGGCGGACTTAATGCCTGATGGCATTCCCTACCAATCTACGCTAAAAAAAGAGAGTAAATGGCGGTGTTTAGATTAAAAAAAAATATAAATTTATCATACAAACTGTCTTTTTATTAATTTACTATTATCGTAATAAATTATCTGAACAAGTTTTATATAAACAAGTAGGTAAAATTTGCTTCGTAAACAAAGGCTACAAACGTGAATGCGCGCACACAGGGGGGAAATAGATTGTTAGCAATGGAATTTCACAGCCCCATTGCTAGCAATATGCCCTATTAGATCGACCTCCACATCCTCTGAAAACCATCGTGAACAATTCTTGTTGAATTCGTCTCGATGGGCTAACTGACCTACTTCATCCTCATCTATCATCCTTCACTGGTGCCCGTCGGTGTATACCGACAGCGCGGGTGGTGTTACAATTTTATTATCACTCAATAAAAAAAGAAAACGCGCGCACACATACAATTACATCTTTCCGGTGTTGCTTAAGCGCAAATTCTTTCCTAATAGTTGGCCATCTTTGTTTTCCAGTTTTGCTCTATTAAACTATCAATTATTATATTACATAGTCTAATTTCGTCATAAATCTGTGTATCGCAGTAAACTGGATGAGCGCAGTTTATCTCTGATGTAACGGAATTATAAGCAATTCGATGCGCAACATATGCAATTAAATTATCTAATACGATGCAGCGATGCTTAACAATTATGTCAGGTTATGAGGTACTTTCCGGCGGACGACGGGGGGCAAACAAGTTGGCGAGATTAATTCCATGTACCGCGGTTCAACAAAGCGAATACAATCACCTGCCATTCAATATCAATCAAATGGGAAATAATTGTATTTCTGATTGAACTATTGAGCATGCCAATTATTATTTTTCACTAGATATGTACCTTAGATTTTGTCCGGTGGAATCTTATATGCATTTTAGTTTAGCACGCATAGTATAAGTAATTACTTTGTTAAGACACAGAACTGTCGAAAGGAAAAGATACCCTCGTTGCTGTCTCTCTCTGCCTCACGTATAATATGCCAAAGAGGGCGGCAGTAATTGTTAGTAATGCGGGCAATGTGCCCTGTCAGGTCGACCTCCACGTTCCTCCTACAAACCATTGTGCTGAATTCCAGATGAATTCATCATGATGGGTTAACTGACCTACTTTTTCATTCTCACCTGTCATCCTTCACTGGTGTCCCGCCGGCGTATACCGTTAGCGCAGGCAGGATTACCATTCCATTATCATCCATTAAAAAAATATGCCAAAGATAAAGTTTCTATTAGTAGATTCCTCAGATGAATTACTTATTCTATCCAATACGTAGAAAATAATGGCAGGAACACTTTAATCAATAATCCCATAGACTTAATACCTATACGTGTTATTACTTATAGCCTAAGTGTATTTATATACACTTGTGTTGTGGATTATTGAAATAAATTTACAATAAAAAAAAAAAACTTATGAATGATCCAGTATTTTTAGTCATACGATTAGATTAAGGATCTGCGGTAGTTGTTGTTTTTTTTTTATTATCTAGCAGCTTGCTTGCGGTAGTTATAGAATGAGGATAGTGCAGGCATTCTCTGTCTATGCATGAAATATTTCAATTTGAAGACACAGAGTAATATTTTCTCTTTCTGAATCTTAGGAATATTGCATCATATTGATACCATAGATTAAAGATAATACCTGCAGTCCTCTGGGTACTGTGATACCAGAAGTGTTGACAAGTTATGTATATATGTAGGACTATCCAATGTTTCTAGTACGATGCCTTTGGTGTTGCATATTTATAGGTTGCGGTAACTGTTTATAAGGCAGACCGTATGCTTGATTGCCACCATAATTACAGTAATTAAATATACACCAATAAAGCATCCGTTACACAATTATTCACTTATAAATATTTATAAATACAGTTAGGGACGGTAACGGTAACACAGTCCTGTTGCGAAGCGATTGTATAAACAATTTTATATTTTATTGCAACGTGATACGTGTTATAATTGCTTAATTAATTTATTGTGAATCGCAATGTACTTAGTACTATTTAAGGAATGAATTCATTACGCGATCGGCATATGTAACATAAATAAAGAGAACTGGTTCAAAGTTTTTCATATATTTAACTCATATAGATATAAGTAATTTAAAGAATATTAATAAATAGCCGTATAGCGCCATCTACTTCTAAGCTAAACAAGACAAGACGCCACGCCGACATACACAGTCCACCATTGTATGTCGGCTTCGCCCGCCCAACAATCTGTCGGGCAAAGTGACCCTGTTGTTGTTGTTGGAGAGAGTGGCCTATTGTATATCGGCTTAAAATCCAGTGATCCGGAGGTAGTGGCCTCCGGAGATGCCGGGGCAATGGGGTTCATTCGAGGCCCCACCTCGCCCGCCTTCACCATCACGCGGGTACCTGTATTTCCGTATTTTCCTGTAGCAGTATTTCCGAACCGATACGACATCATCTCGTATATTCGCCCTCACACATCAGCCGGTAGTCACTCACCATCCTGAGAGATAGATAACCACACACAAGACAAAAAATAAATTACTATAAATAATAGATTTTAAAGGGAACAACTTTAGTATGTTTCATAAATAGGTACACGTTATACTTTAATGTAATAACTACCGGGTTAACGCGTAATACGAGCCATGCGTTACAGATGCTTATGACTAAAGATCACGATTTGGTTCCGAAACTAGTCGAGCTGTTTCGATCTAATTTCACGTAAGTTAAACTGGAAGTTATTACATTAAAACTAGTATAGAACCAAAATTAAAGTTTATCTATTACAAAATGTATAGTCGAAATCGGTAGGTACATAATTAGAGGAAATATCACGTAATGTACTTAAAAATAATATAGTCAAATTTTGTACTTTTTTTTTGAAATATTTTATAAGTGAATAATTGTGTAACGGATGCTTTATATATTTATTTATTTGAACTATAGAGGACAGGGGAGAAAAAATGTTGGGACACTTGATACGACACGACGAACTTATGAACATTATAATAGAAGGTAAGACAAAAGGAAGGAGGGGAAGAGGGAGACCGAGGCATAGTTAGATCAGGCAGATCAAGGAAGGAGTTGGTGTCGTGTCGTATCAAGAGGTGAAGAGACTCGCTGAATATCGTAGTCAGTGGCAAGAGCTCCACCGACAAGAGCGCAGCTCTTAAATAAGATAGATAGATAGATCTTTTTAAGTTCGTTGTAAGACAACATATTAAACCAGAAAGCGATGGTATGATGACTTAGACGTATTTAAAAGGGACTCGTTTAAGTTGGTGCAGAACAAAAAATTTTTGGAAAAACTTAAGGGAGACTTTTGCCCAGCGGTGAGATATCATAGATTAATAATAGAACAGAATAGTATTACGGTATCCTATCAGTTTCATTTATACAATTTACCACAAAAAATCGATTTGTAATATCATTAATATCGAAATTGATCTTGCTGTCTGTCGATTATCACGCTATTTCGATTGTTACACCACTCTGTGAAGCCATTATGTAAAAGACATCAACGCGTTAGATGCGCTTGCGCATCTTTTTCAGTGTTAAATGTCATATCACGAACAATAGACAGTGCAATGGGTATTTTAATTTCTTTTATAATTAATATTATAGGATTTTATTTATTTGATAAAAATAAAATAAAAATACCCATTAAAATTAAACGAATAAGAAATATGTTATTATTTTCATAAAAACATGTTATTTAAAGATAGTTAACCAGCCCATTTCAAAATATAAAGATGTTATCAAATAGTGTGCATATTTTTTGTGCGTATGTTACGCGATATTTTCGCGAAGTCTGACCCGATTTTGATGGGTATTTTTATAATTGAAAGATTGTTATCTTTTAATTGAATTATAAATTTTAATAAAGAAAAATTTTCCAGTTCTTTTTCGTGATTATTATATATTAAATAAATATTCTCTCTTTATGGAATGCAGTGCCCAGCAGTGGGATATTATAGGGTTGTTATAATGAATTAAAACTAATATTTTGTTTCTTTGTTCGCAGGATATCACGACGTGTTTATCACTACTAGTCGTTGTCGTCACATTAGCAACATCAGGTAAATATTAAAACAAAATCTATCCCACTTACGTAAACTCGCAAAATAATGTTATTATAGTAGAGTATTTTTTGGAGAAATGGATTTCTACTTCTCCAATATTTTCCCAATAAAAGGAAAAAATTCTAGAAGAAATTATCATAGAAAAATGTGAGTGATAATCAGATTTCTAGATGTGATTTTAAAATTTTGCGAGTTTGAGAAAAATTTAAGTAACACAGACAAAATTGTGTTCCTAACAAGTATACTCGTATATTTTCAGTTTAACTTGTGAGGTTTGTTATGTATTTTATTTATCATCCAAAATTGTACTTATTTCATGAATCGTAGTGAAATCAGTTTGGTAATACAAAATTGTTGTATTTGAAGAATACTAAATACTAAGACAATACAAGATTTCATAAAACAAAAGGTATAAAGTTTGGGAATAAACCAAAAATCGTATTCAGCGATCTAGCAATACATTTATAATTTTCATTATCTGGGCCGCTAACTTGTTTACCGTTCCTTGTAGTAAAAAATAAAAATATACGTTTAAAAAAAAATCTAATTATTATATGACCACATTAAAGATCTATAACAATACTCAATAGAGCATTACACACAATTTGTAATAATGACATAATAGCACATTATATCAGTACAATAAACAGGCAAAAAACATGAAAGTTAAGTAAGCATTAGATATTTTAAAGATAAAAAAGGCCGTCTATGTATAATAAAAGTACTCATTAGACTTCTCGCAATTGTAGACAAGAAGTTGTGAAGGTTTTGTCTATGTTATGTTATTTAGACAATGGAGCGTTCGCCATTGTGGTCCCCACACGCCGCCTACCGGCTCTAGTCCATTGGCCTTAGTTGCATTCACATATACGTACATATAACATCCAATGCCCTTGGCTTCTCATGATAAGTTTTATATCTGTCTCTATGTTTATCTATTTTTAAATTATAACGAAACTGCGTGCTCTCATTGTTGGTTTAAGGACACTCAAAAAGGTGGAATTCTTAATTCATATGTATTTATGTTTTGGGGTTTTTTTTATTGGATGAAAATGGAATGGTACCCCGCCTGCGCTAATGGGGTACGCTGGCGGGATACCAGTGAAGGGTGATCGATGAGGATGAAAACAGGCCAGTTAGCCCATCATGATGAATTCATCTGGAATTAGTCATGATAGTTTCCATGGGGAACCGCGAGGAGGTCGACCTGGGTGGGTACATTGCATGCAATAGGATTCTTAGTCTCCATTACTAACAATCCCTTCCCCCCATGTTTTGGGTTTAAGTTATATTTTTGTACAGTTCACATGATTTAAACTATTGATTTGATATTATTTTATCGCCTTTGAAGTCCATGTTTAGAATAGAAAATTTGAAGACAATTTTTTTATTTTTTTTTATTTTATTTATTTATTAAATACAATTTTTGTCATTATAATTATGTTTATAATATAAAAGATGAAAAAAGATTAATTATGTCACTTGATCTAACACATATGAATACTACTGTTCCGAATTTAAATAAAAAAAAAAAAATAAAGTTATCACGAGACAGAAATGGAGGCAAATACTTACTGTAAATAAAAAAGAAACTATATGTCTAAATATTTGATATATATATATATATATATATATATATATATATATATATATATATATATATATATATATATATATATATATATAGTCGGAACATATTGATATTCCGCCAGTGTATTGTATTAAAATGTTTAGCTGTATCTTATGTTGGTAATCCTATAAATAAATATTTTAGAAAATTTATAAATGCATCGTCTACTTAATTTTCCGCTTGACTTGTAGAGGCTTTTTGACTTTGTTGTTGACTGACTCGTTTGACTAGTAGAGAAAGCCATTAGGTGTTAAGTCCGCCATATGTACACTTACGTATTATATATAACTGCAATGAATCTTAAATAAATAAAAATAAATAAATGAATGTGGAAAATTGTTTTTTCGCTAACAAACGTCAATGAAATGAGTATAAAATTTTATCAAATGTACCTACTCATTTTTAATGTAATTTAAGGTGTTATCAAATTGTTTTCTCACTGTGATTATTTCTTGTAATTATTTATATTTATAATAAGTTTACTATTGTAATCTTTTGGAGGAAATAATAAAGTGTATCTATCTATCTATAAAATTATCTGCATTTCCTTTAAGAGAATATAGTATTATACATATACGTTACGATAATGATAGAATTTCGTGACTCAAATTTAAAAAAAAATTGATTAAAAAAAATCATACTACTTCGACATGAAATTCCTTTTTTATCGTAATGTATATATGTAATACTATGCCCTGTAGCAGGGTATGCAGATAATTTGGTAACACCTTATATATCAATTATGTTACACGGTGACACTAAAACCCACCGACGCCGGCCGTAGATAACCGATTACATGGAAATAATCAACACAAATAAACTAATTTCATCAATGTCACCAATCGATGCGTTCCGCTGATTTAGATAATGCATAAGATGGTAAAAACGTTTTATGTTTCTTGTTCGTCTTGATTGTTAAACAATGCACCAATTTTCATTAAAGAACGGGAAATACGGAAACTATAATATTTATAGTATAGTAAATACAATTAATAATAATAATTAAATACGTATAATTAAAGCTCCAAATTGTAAATCTAATAAAAAAAATTAAAAAAAAAATAGAATGACGATTTTAACTAAAATTTTTTTGGTGAATAATAAAATCTTTACAAACGAATTTCTTCTGAAATCTAGTTAATAATTAAATTAGTATATATTAAAATGATTAAAAATAATTAAATATACAAAACAAATGAACTTTTGCAGGCAGACACTCTTGTACTCTATGCACAACGGGAGTTTAAGGAAGTTACTGTGTTTGTCGTTTGTCAATTGTCTAATGTATCCATTACTTCAGAACGGTTAAATCTATTACGCTATTATTAAGCTAATTCCTTCTTATTGTATTTCTAATTATCAGAACAAGGATTGAAAAAAATCCTGGCAAATTAATGTGAAAAAAAAAATATTAAAAATATCCATATAAAAAAGTGAGTAGAAAGATTTGAACTTATTTTCTTCATTAGTACATCTGTGAGAAGTCAAGGCTAGCGAATCTATGAATAAAATGTCTTGACACACTTTATACATAGTATTTCGGATTATATAATACTATAATATCACAATTAATATACTACAGTTACACAGTCTTTACAGCAATATAACAGTGATTTTAGAAAAACAAACAAAATCTAGACCTTGCAATCAGCTGTAACTAATAACTGAACCGACAACAATTCGGTCTGGGCGTTGTATAACTTTATAGGCATTGGAATTATTAATGGTGTTTCACTTTTTATATTCTGTCTCGAAATTGGGCTAACGTTGCGTCAAAAGTAACGAAAGTTGGTATTTGGTTTGAGAGAATTCGAACTGAAGCTTCCCACTCATACAAATAAGATTCTTTATAAGCTATTATATATAGAAAGCTATTATATATATTATATATAGAAAATTTAGTTTTTTGTATTTTTTTTATTGTTATTATTTCAGCCGTTAACTGTCCACTGCTGAACATAAGCCTTCCCCATAAGGGGAGCTTTGCTAGTAGTTGGCACGCTTGGTAGGCGAGTTGGCAACCGTAGTTAGGCTTTAAGAGATGTTTTAAGAGGGACGCTGCTGCCCAATCCTAGACTATAAGATTTCTGTACAGGTATTATTATTGTCATATTAGCAGACGAAAGTTTTTTTAGAATACAACTTGAAATGGAAAATAAGCAAGCGGCCCACTTAATAGTAGGTAAATTGTGTCCGAACCACCTATGAATATCAACGTATAATCTTACTAGCTATGCTCCTCGGCTTTTCCCACGTGAATCTGTATATAAAGTATTCTGTGTGCTAAGTTAGGATATAACCTATTTGTATACTAAACTTTATTCAAATTTGTCTAGTAGTTTTTATATGAAAGAGTAACAAACCTCCGTTTGATCATAACTCATTTATAAACTTTCGCATTTATAATATTAATAGAACTAGAGGCCTTTTCTCACTGCCTATCCTTCAATGAACTTCGTGTGAAGATAAATAGTACTAACTATACTAATATTCATGTTTTGTTCTAGCACAAGCGAGCGAGCCCCGCGTGGTATGTTACTACACAAACTGGTCGGTGTACCGGCCGGGCACAGCCAAATTCAACCCACAAAATATCAACCCATACTTGTGTACGCATTTAATATATGCATTCGGGGCTTTTACCAAGGAGAATACACTTAAACCATTCGACAAGTACCAGGATATCGAGAAAGGTGAGTCAGCAAACCTCATTTTGTTTATTTAATTTTTTAGAGTAATTTTTTTTTATACATCTTAGAATAGCAAACAAGCTGACGGCCCATCTGATGAAAAGTGGTAACCATCGCCTATAGACATGAGCAGTACCATGGACATAACAAAGTAAACTGTTTCGCCCATGATACCCCCCCATGCGTTGCCATTCCTGAGGACTCAGTTGTTATTCCTCTGTTCCCTGTAAATTCACGCCATATATACCCTTCAAACCGAAACACAGCCATGCAAACACAACCGCTTCACGGTAGAAACACGAATGGGACAGAGCTACCCAAGTAATCGACTTTTATACAAAGTCTCCCTCTGGTAAATTTACTCATAGTATAGTTTGCTTCAACATAATGAAAATCTAAGTAAATGATTAATTGACTCGACCATAAGACAAATTAATGATGTCAATTAGTAACCAATCATCATCATCATACCAGCCTTTAACTGTCCACTGCTGAACATAAGCCTTCCCTATAAGGGGAGTTTTACCAGTAGTTGCCATACTTGGTAAGCAGATTGGCAAGCGTAGTTAGGCTTTGGAGATGTTATAAGTGGGAAGTGCTCATACCTCGCCCTCCCTTAGTCGCCTCTTACGACACTCACGGGAAAGGAAGGGGTGGCCTATTCTATGCCGGGACTAAACAGCAATCGAATAATACACAAATAGTGACACAAATAAAAAACAAGTAACGTATTTAATATTATTTTAACAAGCCACGTAAGAAAAACCATTATATTTTTGGACGTCATATGTTACAATACAAATATAATACGAGTTAAAGGACAATATAATAATAATAACTTTATTTCCTTAAAAAAATTAGCCTGTAGTACAATATAACTATGACCCCACACTAGGCAAAGCCTGTCTCGTGGAAGTCAAAGCAAAAAGGCAACAACCTCAAACGCATTGCAAGGAGTTAATAGATGCAGGTGGCTCAGGACTGTTTTTTATGGCTGTCTATGGGAGAGGCCTATGTTCAGCAGTGGTCAGATACTGGCTGGCATGATGATATATTTTTTTCAATTATAATCTATAAAGAACTAATGCGTGAATCTGACTCGCACTTGGCTGGTTTTTTTTTTTTACAGCGCAGGGGGCAACCGAGCATGCGGTTTCTTAATTCTTATTCTGAATTATTATTTCACAGGTGGTTACGCGAAGTTCACTGGTCTGAAGACGTATAATAAGAATCTGAAGACATTACTGGCCATTGGTGGCTGGAACGAGGGCTCCACCAGATTCTCGCCCATGGTCGCGTCGCGGGAGCGAAGAAAAGAGTTCGTCAGGAATGCTATTAAGGTATTTTTATTATTATTTACAAGTTTTCATCTACGACTTTGTAATGGAATGGCAAACAAGCTGATGGCCTACTTACTGGAAAGTGGTAACCGTCGCCTATAGACATGACAGTATCATAGACATAACAGAGTATACTGTTTCGCCATGATACCACCCCCAAACGCTGCAATTCCTATTCGAAGACAAAGGTGTTAGCCCTGTACTCTGTAAATTCACTGCCGTATCCTACCGTTCAAAAGAAAACCCAGCCATGCAAACACAACTGCTTTACGATTGAAGAATGGAACAGAGGTGCCCAAGCAAACGACTTTTATACAAAGTCTTCCTCTGCTAAAACTCTGACGTAACCGGAATATGTTCATTGACCGGAGTAAAAAGTAGCCTATGTCCTTCTCAAATCCATATAGTACCTAAACACCAAATAGTATCCACTTTAGTAAAAACTTTACCTAATTAGTGGAGAAGCACAATACGCACTATGGCCCAAGTGAGAGGCTAAGCGCGGAAAATGGAGTCTTTTTCACATTCACATAGTGGAGAAACAAATAAGCAGATGGTCTACCAGATTTTAATCTATAGACATGAAGAGCACCATAAATGTCACAGAACATATAACGCCCATGGCGTTTTTCATAATATCACGGTCATGCCCCACACTTCAAACCGAAGCACACTTCATGTAAGTACAGCTACTTCACCGAAGAAACACACGTAGGGTCGTGGAACACAAGCATATGAATCATGTATACTCCCTCTGGCGTTATTTGCCAGAGAAATTGAATACAAAGTCATATAAATGAGATATCCGTCTACTTTAATCACTAAGCAGCTTGAACTGCATATAAGCAAGCTGTTCGCGTCAGTATATAACTACAGTAAACATTCAATTATAATTAAAAAGTAATTAAAGACAGGAACAGCAGATCGCGTGATTAATTTTATGTGACCGCGGTCATTAGCTTCTACAGTATAATAAATTGAGTGTATGAATTTGTAGGGTTGTCATTTGTCTTTTTCTCATTTGAACGAAGATTAAGAATTAATTTATTCAACGTTACGTGATGCAATCATGGATTTATATTAATACTGGGAGTCGTTAACAAATACGAGTAACTTATTTGATGGAAAGTAGTAACTTAAATGCTGCGTAATGGTAAAAAAAAAATCAACATAGGGTTGTAGCTAATACTGCTAGTTTGCATGTAACTAACTTGGAATGGACTTCCCCTTCTTTTCCCGTGGGTGTCGTAAGAGGCGACTAAGGGAACATAATGGTCGAGATGGACAGCAGTGTCCCTTTTGAAACGTCACCAAAACTTAAGTCCGCCTTGGAAATGTGGCAACTACTAGCAAAACTCATCTTATGGCTCCCCCATAAGGGGGGGGGGCTATATTTATGTTCTTTTCCATTTTATATAGTACATAGATATATACTACATTTCATAACGATTAGCTTTAAGATCTTTAAGGCGCTAAAAGGTAACAAACAAACTCACTTTTATTTTTATTAGTAAGGATTAAATTGTATAGCGTTTTATATATTTTTGATAAAATCAGTTATATTTGACCAATACAATTATGGAGACTTTAATATATATACATAGTGTCCCGTGTGGTCCCGGCATAGAATAGGCCACCCCTTCCTTTACCGTGGGTGTTGTAAGAGCAGACTACGAGAGGGCGAGGGATGGGTAGCAGCGTCCCTCTTGAAACATCTCTAAAACCTAACTACAGTTGCCAACCTCCTGCCAAGACTGGCAACTACTGGGAAAATCCCCCTAGGGGATGATTTAGATAGATAGGATTTATGATTATATAAATTAACAATAAATAAATATTTTATGCAAGTTATCAGCCCTGTTTATAAGATTTGTACAACATGAGAGTTATAGAACTACTTTCTCCGCCATTAGACGTTTCGCAGAGTGACCGGTGTCAGATCAAGTATATTAATATTGCTTCCATAATAATCCTAATTTACCTTCAATGTTGGCTTTGGTCAGTTCCAATTTAGACCTTGGAGAGGGAGAGCAAAGCAATTACTAGATTAGTTCAAAACAGTATTAAGGCATTCATTGCCAGAAATAAAAGTGGGAACTGTCACTTAGACACCTGGACTGCATCATGGATGTTACAGACTGTATAGTGATATCTATGGTACATATATGCATCATCATCATCATCATATCAGCCTTTAACTGTCCACTGCTGAACATAAGCCTCCCCCTTGAGGGCTTCTGCCAGTAGTTACCACGCTTGGCAGGTTGGTTGGCAACCGCAGGCTTGGAGATGTTTTAAGAGCTACTTACGCTGCTGCCCATCCCTCGCCTTCCCTTAATCGCCTTTTACGACACTCACGGGAAAGGAAGGGGTGGCCTATTTTATGCCGGGGCCACGCGGTCATATATGCATAAGCCTAAGGTATATTTTTATCATGAAAATGGAATAGTAACCCCATCTGTACTATCAGTATACACAAGTAGGTTACCAATGAGAGATGAGAGGTGAAGATGAAGACAGGTCAGTTATTTAATCATTGTGACAAATTGGTCTGAAATTAATCACGATAGATGCTAGAGGGCCGCTAGTTCTCAGTACTAACAATCTCTTCGCCTTTATAAAGATATTATACGTACATCCGGCGCTTGTCACATAGCTCCACATGACACTCTTCAAACCGAAATACATGCGAAGGCCTATACGAGGTCTGTCCGGAAAGTTCGTATAAAAGTGTTCTGGAATGCGAGAAAGAGGAGTGGGGAGGCCAGGTAAGCGCAGGACCCCTTCCTTATGTCCCTAACAATGCTTCAGTTCTGGTCTGACCGCCGTGCGGTGCGAACTTTAATATATGGCTTGTCACGCCATCTGTGAAGTTACCTCTTAACGAAACCCCGTCGGCATGGAGCCCGCTTCCGTTGAAGAGCAGCGCGTCGTAATCAAGTTTCTCTCGAAACTCGGCAAGAATGGCCGTGAAAGCAAAGAGTGGAAGACATCCGGGGAACCACGAATAAAAAAATCAAGAAAATCCCGCTCAAATGTCAAGACAATGTTGATTGTTTTTTTTCGATGTTCGGGGGATTGTCCATCAAGAATTCGTCCCTCCAGGCCAGACAGTTGATGGAAAATTCTACGTCGATGTGCTCAGACGCCTCAAAGCTCGTGTGGCACGAGTTCGTCCAGAATTGGCGCGAGAGGGGCGTTGGATTCTTCACCACGACAATGCCCCTGCCCACACCTCTCTTGTTGTCCGTGAGTTTTTGAGTAAAAATTCCATTACGGTGACCGAACAGCCTCCCCCCCCCTATTCGCCGGATTTGGCCCCGTGTGACTTCTTCTTGTTCCCAAAAACCAAATTGGTACTTCGGGGGCGGCATTTGGGGGACATAAATGAGATAAAAAAAGCTACGACGGGGCAGCTGAGAAACCTACAACCAGAGGACTTTCAAGGAGCCTTCTCACAGTGGAAACGGCGTTGGCACAAGTGCATTATGTCACAGGGGGAGTACTTTGAAGGGGATAAAATTGATTTACCTGAATAATTGTAAAATAAAATTTTTAAAAAACTTTTATACGTACTTTCCGGACAAACCTCGTATATCGGTTTAAAGAGATATCCTACTTATGTCTGAAATACAAGTAGGACAAAAGTATACAGGTAACTTCTTTACAGTCTTTTTGTCTCCCTCTTATACTGCCTTATTCATAATATATTGTCCTTCCACAGTTCCTCAGGCAGAACCGATTCGACGGGCTGGATCTTGACTGGGAGTACCCCGCGTTCAGAGACGGCGGCAAGCCAAAAGACAGGGATAACTATGCCAAACTGGTGAAGGAACTTCGCGAGGAGTTTGAGAAGGAGTCAGAGAAAACTGGGAAACCCAGGCTGCTGCTCACCATGGCTGTACCGGCTGGTATCGAGTACATACAAAAGGGATTTGATGTGAAGACATTGAATAAGTAAGTTAGATTTTTGTTTACTTTTTTTTATACTACTATGGTACTAACTAATAAAATATGGTAAAAACTAATATATACTAACAAGCAATCGGATATATAACGTAAATGGGTTTACCATAGCCTATGGACGCCTATAACGGCAGGGACATTATGCGCGCTTTAGGATATAAGATAGAATATCAGTGTTTTGCTCTTTTGAGGGCGAAGCAATAAACTGAGTTGTGGCCATTTTGTATTGCTATGGCACACTACAAACGAAAATTGTATTTAGCTTTGTGTATTTTTATTTATCATTTATGTTATCTCGCTTTTTTTTTGTATATGTATGTTGTAATTTGTGTGCTGTAAGTAAGTAATGCAAATAAATTATCTATATATCTAGGATAAATCTTAGCAAGAACACCATTCGTGTTCGCAGGAGGAAGGCCTTCTGAAATCTTACTTATTTTAATATGAGTACCACAATAGTGGCAAAAAGGTATACAGCCTGTCTGATGTAAACGGTCACTATAGTGTATGGAATCGTTGCTACACTTTGATAATCTTTAAGTTACCAAAGAGTGGCAATGTTGCAATTACAAGTAACTATTTATAATTAAAAATAATGAAATATTTTATTATTCATCTGCATCCTAAGATTGCCTGGAAGAGATTACTGTTTAGAGATAAGACCGTCCATTACCGCCTCTTTATCTTACATTTATGTTAATAAGTTTATGTAATTAATTATTAATTTTTTTAGTGTACACATTTGTTAATCTTTATAAACTGTATCATTATTTAAACAATGAAGAATTTTCATTTATTCATTCATTCATTTTTCAATATTTCTAATTGGTGATTTAAAAAGTTCTCTGCTTCTAAACTGATTTATATCTTTTAATCAAAAAAATTTTTTGGAATCAACTTCCAACAGCAGTATTTCTGAATTCATACGACATCCTAACCTTAAAGAAAAAAAATATCATTTTATATTAAAAGACGGGCAGCACAACTGCAGTTTATTTGCTATTGATGGTGCTCCTGGGAGGCGATAGTCACTTACCATCGAGTGAGCTGCATGCCTAATACTCTATGCATTATAAAAAAATAACATAGAAATGTTCTTTTTATGCCAATACGGACAAAGCCGCAGAATAGTCAGTTACTAAAACTAGACAAGGCATCTACACAACACAGAACTATTAAAAAAAAAAACTAGACAACGACAATCAGTGCTAGTAGGTTATATTAACCCATTATTACAAGTATGATTATTAAATATTGAGCAAACGAAAGCTTACAATATGTCACAAGCAGAACAAATATCGTTAATAAGAGTCCATAAACATAATCGCTTCTTCACGATTACACCATGAACTAAAACAAATCGATGCAGAGCCTACACGAAGTTCGACATACAAATTACCAAATCACACTGTGTAAATATATTTTATAATCATATAACATGCAAACGCGCTTGTGAAATGATTGAGTATCGTATTGCACAATTACTACCTAATTCAATGTCACATCTTGCCTAATCATTGTCTATGGTCACAGATTTAATATTAAATAATAATAATATTAAAAAAAATATCTTTGAATTACTGTCAGCTGGTTTCTGGCCTAAGCCTAATAAATAAAAAAAAATCTTTTATTTGAAATTCACATTCAAAAATAGAATTATTTTAGTAGTCGTAAACAAATAAAAATATAAATTATTAAATATATTTTTTTGTCAAAATTTTTTATTTTTATTATGATTTAGCATTAAAAATACATACAAGTTCAAATTTTCACGCTTTTCTTTTTAACCCCTGTTTTTTAATCGCGATTTTTATATGCCGCAATAGGGTTGCAAAATGACAATCGAATATAATAATTGTAGTACGAGAAAATTTCATGTATAGTTCTAGAAATAATTTATATGGTAAAACAACGTTTGCCGAGTTAGCTAGTATATATATATATATAGAGAGAGAGAGAGCATTAAGTCTTCCTTGTACACATAATATACTAATGAATTATTAAATAAACAAAACATCGTTACAAAAAGATATAAAATAAACTTTATATTAATTGACCTCCCAACACAAATCATATTACAAAGGTCTGAGTTTATCCTGTGTGATCCCGGCATAGAATAGGCCACCCCTTCCTTTCCCGTGGGTATCGTAGGAGGCGCCTAAGGGAGGGCGAGGGATAGACAGTAGCGTCTCTCTTAAAACATCTCCAGTCCTGACTGCGGTTGCCAATCCGCCTACCAAGCGTGGCAACTACTGGCAAAGCCCCCAAGGGATAGGATTATGTTCAGCAGTGGACAATTAAAAGCTATAATAATATGTCTTTTATAAATTATCGCCGACTGTCAGCGCCACAGATATAATCTATACTTATAATAAATCTGTAGACAGGTCAATTCTGTACATAAAATATATTTCCAAAATAACTATCAGGGGGTGATTAGTGATCGATACTGACGCCAAAAATGCAATCAGTAAAATTTTTGTCTGCCTGTCTGTATGTTCGTTATAGATACAAAAACTACTCGACGGATTTTTACGAAATTTGTTATAATTATTCTTCATACTCCTGGGTAGGTTATAGTATACTTTTCATCACGCTACGATCAATAGGAGCAGAGCAGTAAAGGGAAATGTTGGGAAAACGGGAGAAGTTACACCATTTTAAGCTTCCGTCGCGTGTGCAGCCTTAATGGGCACTTTTAAAAATGTCCACCCGTGCGATTCGGGGCGGGTCGCTAGTATATAATAAAAGAAGTATTTATGAACCAATGTCATTGGCTCGATCTGTCAAAACCACAACGTGCCTTCTACTTCGGAATGCTGAGTATTTTTCAAACATGTTTACATGCAATTATTTTATATTAGCACCTTGATCTATTAACATAAATTAAGTAGGTATCCAATATACGATTAAGCAAATTATAGAACGTGTAAAGGCACCAAACTGAAATCGATATCAAATATCAATAACAAACCAGTCAAGTCCGCAATCCCTTGAAGCTGTGAAGAAATCTACTGAATTTACTGGGTACAGAGGAATAACACCTGAGTCCTCAGGAATGGCAATGCATGGGGGGTATCATGGGTGAAACAGTATACTCTATCATGGGTGAAACAGTATACTCTAAACACGAATGGGACAGAGGTATCCAAGCAATAGACTTTTGTACAAAGTCTCCCTCTGGTATATTAAACAAATTAACTAATACTAAATTAAACAAATAAAAAACAAGAACAACAATATTAGAAGTATTATTGTATTGTATTCTTACTTAATCGCCGAACGGGGACATACATTTACATACATATTAGAAATTTCATGGTGTCAAACAGGAATTTTACACTGTTTAACTGCTCTTACAATTCACTCGACTAACGTTTGTATGGTTGACATGGAGAAATGGGTTGCAGCTATGTGAACGAGAAACGGTGTACAGTTTTCGGTTATGGAATTGAATCCGGGACCTTGACATGTATGGAATAAATTAGGTACTAATACTTTTGCGGAAAGTTAAAGTGAATATATTACAGTAACTACTTGTTTGTAGAATGATTGTATTGAATATAAATATATATCTATAACTGTTTCACGGTTAGGGGGAAAATGGATTGTTAGTAATGGAGACTGAGAATCCCATTGCTAGCAATATACCCAACCAGGCCGACCTCCTCGCGGTTCTCCCTGGAAACTATCATGGTTAATTCCTGATGAATTCATCATGATGGGCTAACTGGCCTGTTTTCATTCTCATCCATCACCCTTCACTGGTGCTCCGGCAGAGTATCCCTTTAGCGCAGGCGGGGTTACCATACCACTTGTACCCATTAAAAAAAAAACTGTTTCACGGTTAAAACATGAATGGAACAGTGCCAAGCAAACGACTTGTACAAAGTCTCCCTCTGGAAAATTATCTATTGATAGCTTTGAGTCTCGTTTCATTAGTAAATGTCTCTGTAGGCACTTTATTGTCAGTAATTAAAAATAAATAAACATATGAATAATCTTATTGAATCACCTTTTCTGTTGAGTAATGTTAATATACGATGTCCTCGGGTTAATTCTACAAATAATAAGTTATTTAGTATACCTTTTTCACAAACAAATTACATGAGTAATACTTATCTTATAAGAGCCTGCAATTATTATAATCAGCAGTTCCTCTCTTAAGACGTATTCAGAGAAGATATAAACTTATATAAAAGACATGTGAAACACGTGACCCACTGAAACTGCGCAGAGATGTTGCATCTCTGTGCATCATCTTGATACCTGCTGCTGATTTTCACCACCGTACAACCCGCCACAAACTAAAGTTTCATCCCTATCATCTGGACGAGTGGCGGTCTTCCACCGTGCGTTTTTCAAGGCACTTTCTTCCACGCACAACCATTCTTTGGAATCAACTTCCAGCACCAGTATTTCCGAACCGATACGACAACATAACCTTCAAGAAAAGAGTATATTCCTTTTTTAAAGGCCGGCAGCACACCTGCAATGCCGCTGGTGTTGTGGATGATCATGGGCGGCGGTAGTCACTTACCATCAGGTGAGCCGCATGCTCGTTTGCCCCTTGTGTTGTAAAAAAAAATGTTAAACAGAAACTTCGAGCAAACTCCATTTGATTAGAAAGAAAAAAAAAACATTTTAAAATTGTTAATTGTTATGTTTCTTTTCTTTTTTTGTATTGTCATATTTTTTTATATTTATTATGTGCTCTCGTTCATTTGATTTGTTAGTTTTTTGTGGAAATTTCACTGATTTATATTATAGCTGTATTTACTATTTATATGTTTTAGGTATTGTATGTTTCCACTTTAAAATAAACAAAAAATAATAATAAAAATAATATTTTGTTTATAATACATCAGTTAAGATACATTAAAAAAACTTTAGTAAATAAAATTAAGAACAAATAATAAAAAAAAAATGCCCATTTACTTATAATTTAGGTAATTTGGTTACATTAAAATAATGAATGTATCATAGGAGTC